GGATATTAACAGTATAGAATACCTGATAAACTGTACAATGAACCCAAACAGTGAACACAATAACTGCAGGAAGTCTGTGTAAAACGAACGATTTGGATGAAGTTCAGCAGTGTAGGAGCCATGTTGGGAACCACTGACCTACAAAAACAAAATACCGTTAATGAGAAAATTGTCTATTTCTGTGTAGTTATTCTTAATGTCTGCCAACTGGTCAGATTCCCCTGGAAATCAATGAAAGGAGGCGGTGGAAACACTACTGCTTTTGTCCACAGGGACCGCCAGAATCAACTTGTAGGGACTTTAAGTAAAGGATCTAAATACTTCTTCCAGCACTGCATTATAACACTGATTCGTTTGCATTAGAAATCTTTCCTTCAGGAATATAAAAAAATGTCCCTCAGGATCAGGAATGTGTTCCCGTTGTGCACAACGTATAGTCTCGCAGGACTCGTTTGTAAAATGTCTGTCTTTCTAAGCTCATTACAACATGCATAAATGTAATCTCTGGGTCCGCTGAGCGTCACCTCACACCACATTCTCACTGGGCTGAGAAGTAAAAGAATTCCACAAGTGTTTTATTAAAAACCCAATTATATAACTTTATTAACATCAAGGTTTTCAAGACATTTTCTCTGTTTTTTATTAACAAATAGAAAACAGATCATGTATACAACAGATAGGACCCCTACAGCGTGACTCTGTGAAATGAATCTTCACCCACAACCTCACTTTGTCATCTCATCCAGTGAAAAGCTCAGAGATCCACCACTGAACACTGATGCTGCTCTTAGTTAGTCCGGCTGCAACACAGTGATAAAATAGTTGAGCTGTAATATTGTATGAAAGGGGATCCAGTGTATCTGTGTCCTGTCTATGTAAAGCCATGTATGCAAACAGAAAGGTGTGGGTTGTAAGATAATTGGGAAAGTCAGAAATGTGTGCAGATCACTAAATCACTTCCTGTATGATGTCAGTCATGTTGCGTGCAGTGTATGTAGTCCATGACGTAATGGTGGTACTCAGTTAGGGCTATTTTTGTATCAACACAATGTCTGGACTTTTTGTGAAATGAGTATGAGCACCAAAAACCAGATGATACCACTATGATATTCTAAGCTTTTCCCATGTTAACAAATCCCAGGTTCAGACTCAATTCAACAATGAATGTATCTACTAACAAGTACTGTGTGTGTGTGTGTGTGTGTATCAAAGCCTGATAGATCTTATTCCTCTGTGCCATGGAACTCTGTTGTTGTCCAAAAAGGATACAACTAAAACAACATTTGCATATCCAGTGTCCTGGTCCAATGCTCTTAGTGACACTTTGTCATAATTTGGAGTGTTGTTGTCTTGCCTGATGTCATAAAGGATTCTTTCCTTTTTTCATTCATGGAGCATGTGATCACACTTGTTTCACAAAAAGTCTCAAGAACAGGCTGTCTGTGTTCAGTCCACTTTAAGAGGGGAACTGACAGTATGGTGCACACCACCTTTCCGACAGCTTCATATCTCTTTTGTTGAAAGTCTCCAGATCTCTGCGGGGTTTGAGAAAATTAGTCAACAATGATTGACAAGAAACTCTGTACATGCTAGCAGTTCAAATGTCTTTGCATGTTTATAGGTTTATTTCATACTGCGGTTCACAAACATCTCTCTCTATTTGATCTGCTTGCTAGATCATTCAGTTGAACTTTAAAACCCACATTTCCCCCTAAATAAGAGCAACTGAGTAATGATAACATTAGAGTATCATATCTATGGTACAAAATCAAATTATTAGCAGCTGTGAGTATACGCTCTCCTGTATTAATAACTCGGAGCATGTTGAAAATACATCTCCTTTGTGCTAATAAAATAATAAAAAGATAAGCACATTTAAAAAAAGACCAATTAAGACATATAATAACCAGTGTAAGGGATTACAAAATAAATTCTAAATATTCAGAACAACATAGTAATGATGAATATAAATGAAAATAGCAGAAAAATAGTTTTTGCTAATAGGAGGAGGCAGAAACTGGGGAGTGACAGGAGTATTCAGTCAAGAATCAGAATGAGGTGTGAATACAAGTCATTAAGGGTTGGTTTTTGGGAGGTTTGTATGTGTGTGTGCATGTGTGTGTGGGGGGTTTCTGTGGCAGAATCATGGCACCAGTCCAGGAGGAGGTCATCCTGTCCCCTCCCCTTTCCCTCTAGTGTAATCTCCCGTTTCCTGCTGCGGTGACCTCCTCAGCAGTCCTCCTCGCAGCCTCCTCATCAGGCCGCAGGGGCTGACGGAGCTGAGTGGATGTGGCTCAGAGGAGACGCGGAACTCTTCTGAGGGTGTCTTCTCTGTGTGGGGTTATGTTGCATAGTGATCAAAGCTTCCCAGGTACTCCAGAGCAGCCCTGTAGCACAGTTGGTACTGGTCCTGGGGACAAAGAACAATGTTTGGGTCAGTTTGCAATGGGGAAGTCCGAATTTTATTTGATTTTTTTCACACAGATATAAAGAGAACAGCACATCAAAACATTAAATAATATAATAAGGTACACACTTTCCAGCCACTATCCCTTTTTAGGAGTGTTCACACACTTGCTGCAAGTAAAACTTTTAAGTAGAAATCACATCTTCTTTAGTGTTCCCAACATAAAATATTTTTAACAACTGCATTAACACTTTCCCAATACGACCTTATGCATGTTCAGTCCCTGTCAATATGTGAATGGTCAGCCTCCACGCTCCCACACAGCCTCCAACAGTGTTGTGCTGCAAGTTTTTTATGTTTGGTGTATGAAAAAGAAAATCGTTCTAGCAGAATTGCCTACGTACTATTGAGTTTTTGGATGTACATTGTTTCTCATACATTCTTCCTGTTATTTGAATCTGTAACTCTGCTTCCCACTTTGCTTTAATGTAGAGCGTTGATTCCCTCCTGCTTCCCCTCAAAGCTTGGTAGAAAGCAGAGACGACCTGAGGCCCCTTCTGTCTGTATGCATCTGCAATATTTTACTTTACTACTTCACCAATTCCTTCCCGTTTTGATGCCGTTTACTACACTGGTAAATAGGTTGGCTAGCTAGCTGTTGGACTGTGAGAGAGCTACAGAGCAGGGGTGTAGTGGGGGGTAAACCCAAGTAACCTCAGTTTCAACCTCTTTGAATGAAGCTAAAGTTTACTCATCTTGAGATCGACGTCTGCTTTAATACATTTCCTGTATGAAGCCCTGCTCCACAGGCGCACCAGCTGTTTTTTTGTAAGTACAAATTTAAAATACTTTACTTTAATATATACATTTTATGTTACTTTATACCTCCTATTCCCCCACATTTATCTGACAGCTGTAGTTACTGCTTCATTTGCAGATTTAGGATCTACATACTAAACATATGATCATCATGTAACATACAATGCATTGTTAAACTAGCCAACAGTAGGTGAAGTAGTTAAAATACACTCCACCTCAACCAGTGTTTAGAATGCTGCTTACACAGTAATAATAGTAATCCTATAATGTTCTACATGATACATAAAACAGAGATGTTGGGGTGGGGGTAATTTCCAAATCACATGAGGTCCCCTGTTAATACTAGTCCTGTGAAAATGGGGTTCAAAGTCAGCTTTTATATACAGGTTTTAATCTGTATATGTGGGGGATGCTCCAGTGTGCTGTTATAATACCAATAACCAATTCTCAAGTGTTGTATGTCACATCACATGACCTGAATCCGCCCTCACCTGTCACTATGAGTCAACAGCCATACATAAACCTGTAAGACACAGTGCCTAAACCACTGCGTAATGATTACTAACAATATAACCCCATCCTCGTATTTTTTTTAATCACCCATTCAGTTTAACCTGTTAATATTTTTACAGCTGTATTGTGTTTACCCCCAACATACTCTATTCTTATTGACGTTCTCATCAGTGGCAGTGTACCGTACCTCTGTCTGCACCATGGCCGGCCTCTGAGTTCGTAGCGTCTTGACGGTTTGGAAGAGGTCGACCACTCCCTCGTACCTCATCCTCTCCAGGACAATGCTCAGGGTGATGAACACACCAGTCCGTCCAACACCAGCACTGGTGGACACACACATTATTACATTCATTAGAAATTCACATACAAATATACATCTGAAGGCCAGATCTAATAAAGACTAAAAACAGGATCCAGACGGTAACACATGGAGTCAGCACTTTGACAACTGCTTCTGTACAGGCATATAAGGATACAAACAGAACTTCAGAAAAAACAAGCTAACTCAACACTCTTCTGACTATTTTGTTAGGTTAAAATGAACACATGAGGCACCAAATAACTGCACAGAGTTCAACTGCAGTGCTGCTTTAAAGGAAAGAGCTCATAATACAAGGGATTATGGGAATAAAGAGATTGATGTTGAAACCTAATAGGCAGCAGTTCTTCATGTCTGGTGAGCATGGCAAACAGAAACCACTGCAGATGGTAATGGGATCCAGTACCACTCTATGTGTTACCTGCAGTGCACAGTGATTGGTCCATCTTGTCCAAACTGCTCCTTAGTTTTATGGACCTGGCCGATGAAGTCAATGAATCCCTCCCCAGTTTTTGGCACTCCTTGCTCCGGCCAGTCAGTGAACTGAAACTGCCTGATGGTCCTCGACTGACCATCCTAACCAACACACAGGACAGTGGACAGATATTGTAAGTAAGTCTCACACAGATCTACAGTCCATTCCAGTGCTGCATGTTACCAAAGAGTAAAGTATTACTATGATTATTATTAGTTTTTCCTGAAAATCAAGGCATTAGTGTTCGAGTTTCAGTGCATAAATAAAATTTACACTCACATTCACACCTACAAGCTATTTAGAGTCACCAGTTAACCCTGCATGTCTTTGTGGGAGGACGGCGGAACACCCAAAGGGAACCCACACAGACACGGGGAGAACACGCAACTCCACACAGCTATATAGCAGGTACAATTGCAAAGTAAAGTTGATAGAAAGTAGCAAAGAAAAATAAACCACATTAACATAAAGACATAAAATTAACATAATTTTACATGTATTTGTTGTCAAAACTGCGAAGAGCAATTCAAAAATAAAACAAATTGGGACTGTCATAATATCCTCACACTTTTCTCACCATTTCCCTATTATCTTGTGTTCTACAAGATTACATGAATGATCCTTTTTGGGTATTTGTTATGTGGTATCTGTAGTTATAAAAAACAAATTTTTTCCCCCAAATTGTCAGCAGGAAAAAGAATGAGCGTGCCGGAGCTCCTTCACTCAGAGGTTGCAAGTAACTAAATACAAATACTTAATTACTCTACTTGTAGTTTTGTAATTTTTACTTTTACTCATACATTTACTACTATACTACATTTTCAAAACAGGCTTGTTACTTTAGTTTTAATGCATTTGAGGGAAATTATTGATTTTATTTTTATTTTGCATCATTACACGGCTTGGTGCATATCATGCATGCCAGACGCAATGTGACCAAAAACATGTAACAAGACGGAACAGACTAGAAAGGGACCCTGTTTGAAGTTTCAGTAACCTTTGAACAGAAACAACTGGTAGAAATGTCCATCCGAAAAACCAAGAAAGTACTTTTGACTTTTATACTTTGAGTACATTTCAGAGCCTGTACTTTTTCACTTTTACTTGAGTCAAAAAGTTGAATCAGAACTTCTACTTTTACCAGATTCTTTTTATACGTAAGTATCTTTACTTGAGTAAAGAATGTGTGTACTTTTGCCACCTATGTCTCTACCATGATGCGATGACAATCGAGCAAAACCCAGAACAAGAGGCAGTTTCCAGGGAAAGTCCCTGGCTACATCTGGACATTTTTTATACCAAAATGTAAAAAAGATAACCGGTAGTTGTTCCACATACTGTAGATAAACTTGTAGTTAGCTATTCAATATCTGATGTTATGATAATGACATTAATCTGTCTTGTAGCTGGAGGTCCATTGGGCTTTTAAATTGGTGTGCGTTAGAAAGCAGTTTAAGGACGAGTGTGTAGGATTTAGTGGCATCTAGTCCTGTAGAAACATGGCGGTAAGTGGAGATGAAACAGAGACAAAGCGGAGTGAAAGCAGCTCTTTCTAAGGTAACGAAAACACAACAATTCTTATTTTCAGATGATTATACACTCATGAAAAATTATGGATATCCTATTCCATTTCTGCCAATAGATCTTCCTAAATGTTACACACTAGACCTTTAAGTTAACGTAATATTAATGTTATTAACCAGGTGCTTACTTGAGTAGGTTTCTCAAATTTTTACTTGAGTCATTTTTTATTAGAGTAATTGTACTTTTATTTGAGTGTAGATTCTCTACCAACCACTAGTTAGACTTTATAAAGTCTGTAGTTTGCTAAAAGACACTAAAGTCTGTTTTCAAGCCCCAAAGCATATGCTAAGTGTATGGGGCATAGTAGAAGATTTTTGGTATAATTTGGGGAAGCATACTGTACATCGTAGATGTAGAGACCCGATCATGAACAAATCGATCAAATCAGCGCTTCTTCCTCCCTAGCAGTGAACTCTGTGGCCTGTGTGGGGATTGTGCGGTCC